TGACATAGTCTATGTCATCTAATTTCTTACTTTAGGGACTTCCCTATGGTTGGTGTAACATAATTTGAGTTAGATCCTGACATCAGTTAGAATGAAGAAAGCATTTTAAATGTGGCTGGTGATCCAGTGGCCATGAAGCCTAATCTTGTTTCTAGGCCAATGGAAAATATCCCATCTTTGATATTCTTGTATTAACATTTCTGTTATTACTGAAATAGTAGCACAGTTTTTAAGAAGTCCTGAAAATATACTTTGATTTTAAATTAAATTTTGGAAAGTTTTGGTGGATAATTTGACATCTAAGAGTACTTTGAACCATTAAATTCCATGGACCTTGATCTAAATGAAACCAAAATCCTTCTCTCCTTGTTTTGCCAGACTAGCATACGAGCAAAGTGTGAACCAGGGAAACTACATTCTCAGGATACTGTCCTTGCAGCAAGCTGTTGGAGGAACATAGCCAAGGACTTTACATTTATTTTCCCTTCTATAAAATGTGTAATTCAACTTGAGGATTTTCTTAAGTTATTTTTACATCTAAGACCCTACAATTCTAGATTCCTGTACCACTCTCAAAGCTCTTATTGATTCCAGGTCCACATTATATTCACTTTTACACAGATCTGCCAGTTTAATATCTGACACAATCCTTCAGTCAAAGGCCTGAAAAAATGGTGCTCTGCTAAGATCAATTCTTAAGATGAATGTAGTCAAATAAAGCTCTGTGAAATACAGGCTCTAAAATCTTGTGTCATAACTTCAAGATGGTATGACCATAGGTCCTAACTTGGATGTAATTAAATGTGAAATAGTCTCATTTTAGCATGTAAGGAAACCAGTTTTCTGGTTGGAAGGAATGATTTTTTTCAACTCATTTTTAATTAGTAATTTTCCTTTGGGGAAGCTTGAAGACGTATAGTAGTTAGAGGAATAAAATATCAAATAGCAAAACTATTCATGAATAATTGCCCAGAATGGGGAGATAGGAGGACTCTTAACTTTTATTTTCAGGGGTCTGAATGATTCAAGAGGATGCAGTGGGGAACCTGTGATCTGGGACCCGGGAGCCATCAGCCAGGGAGAAGAGGCAGAGAGGAGCAAGTGTCACTGCACCGTGCACATTGGGCCTTATGTAGGAAACGTCTTCTCATGTAGGCAGTGATGTGTTTAAAAGTGAGACATTTTCCCTTCACTTGTTTTGAAGTGGTTGCTTTGACAAGTCTTTGAAGAAAGAAACCATTTTCTATCCTACAAGTTCAGTAATTGCCCTTAAATACCTGATCATCTCACATTTTCAGGGGAGACACTTGCTTCCACGTGATCTAGCAGGCAGTGATGGCTGAAACAGATGACATTGGATCACCAGGGTACCTTGAAAGGCAGCCACTAATTAATTATTTGTCATAATCTTCCAGTGAGGAAATTACTAATATTATTACTTAACACATCCTTTGCAGTTTACTTTTGCAGAGTGCTCAGAAATTCATTTGTGGTCATGAAGAAATAACCATTTGTGCTATTGTTAGCAGGAAGCAAAGACGCAGCCCCAAGAACACCTGTCTGTGTCCACTCTGTGACACAGCCAGGGGCCCCGAGCTTTACGTTCTGTGGCACCTCATAGGCCATGTTGCCTTCAATCCCAGCTGAATAACAGAAAGACTAGGTATGCGGCATTTTTACTCTGTTATTCCAGTCTCCAGAGGTTGAAGTTAGTAAATAACAAATTCAACTATGAAGTCGCCCCTCCATAAAAAAAGACAACCTTTAACTTAATAACATTCACATGGAAGGCATATGCAATGTCATACTGGAAAATGTTAGCTGTGTCCTGGAAGTTTTAGAAAAAAAAAACATCTGGTAAAAATTGGTCCCTTGTGTTTGGACTAAGGACTGTTACAAGATTCTTTGAACTTACTTTTCAGCCAGTAGGTCTACTCCTCAGCTGGAGCCTATCTACACGTGGATATTGGTAGAGCAGGGTTAATATCTAACCTAAATTTGTAATTATAGTGTAGTATTTATACTAAGATAGATGATAGATAGATAAACATAAATAGACGATAAATAGACTTGGGAGATCCTGTACTTCTCTCCTAACAGGGTACATTGGAGAGGAACCAGGGTTTCAACAAAGTTAAGATTTGCTACACCTTAAAACTGGTAGGCAAATAACATTCACCTTAAAACTGATAGACAGGAGAGAGTGTTAGCATATTAGATAAATAATATTGGACAAGGAAGCCTTTGTCACATTCAAAGGTATCAATACTTTAAAATCTACTGCATGTTTCTTACCTAACATGCAGCAGAAAGTCAGACAAGTAACCCAGTAAGCTGTACAATTGGCGACAGGAATTACACGGATCTAAAATAGCCCTCTCTGTTGCCCAGTAGGCCAGTTGTTTTCCAGGTAGCTTCTACTTCACTTTGATATTGGCTCCATAGCCCTTAGGTCCTCCCAGATAACAAGGGAACACCAGAACACAGCATGATATTATCCGTTAGGTGTTTCCAACTGAGTCAGATTGCTGTTTGAAATAACTGACTGCTGATTATCTAAATACAGCCCCTGCCTGTGGCCAATACCTGGTCAAACATTTCTGTGCAGGAGGTTGTCAGGGGCTGCCACTGGGTGAAAGGGGGGCCAGAAGCTAAGGAGCTTGTTAAGAAGTTCCTTTGTGTGCCACTTTTCACAAGTCTGAGCAACAACCAGTTTTCTGCCTCAAAACCTGGAGCTGCTGACAGAGATTAAACTACCCCTTGATAACTGAATCTGTCCGAATACTCTGAATACTGATGAAATATACCATAGAAAAGAATTTTTATTTTCAGCTTACATCAGGATGGCATATTTCAGGCTTTCCATACATGGAGCGGCTTTCAGGCCCAGTTACAAATGCCCTTTCTTTACTTATACAGAAAGTACACAACCTGGATATTCAGAATTTCTTATTTTCCCAAGTGTCACTCTGTAAATATGGATCTCTTTTAAGATCAGGAGTCCACAGGAGATAGATTTGGCCTCATCTAAGTAAGATGAGCAGGAAACAATGTAATTTATGAGCTGAACTCACAGAGGGCGCTCAGTCGAGCTGTGTTAAACTGATCTTATGGCTGGCAAGGATGACATGTCAGATGTTTCATTCATTTGAAATACCAGACCATTTCCATAAATCATTTTTAAAACTTTAAATACATTATACAGGTACAGTAAAAATAGATGGTGTGCCAGACACATCTATTTGTTTCACTGCTTACTTGCATTCCTCATTTCATTTTCCAAAGATGTATTTATCAGTCCATATTTTAGTTTTATTCATGCAGTCTTGTTTATGCTTATTTGATTCTTCCTTGTACATATAGATTCAACCCATGTGAATATAATTAGAGTGTCTAACTTTCTCACTTCCTGCACAAAGAGCAAACAGAATCTCCTTTTTAAATTTGTCAATGTACAGTGAGAAAAAGTATACAGAATGGATTTGGGGCAATTTAGCATAAAGTCTTCAACTGAAACAGTGCATTATTTAAATAATGTGTTTCAGGACATTTAAGGTTGAGTTTCTTTACTGCGTGAATGCTATACTATCTTCTTTTCTCCCCTAACCCCCACTCCCCAATTTAACAGCAGACAAACCCAGGGAGCACTGAACGAATCTGAGGACCCTGAAACAGGCTGCCTAACCGATAACAAGCCAACTTCTCGGCACTTCTACCCTGTCGCCTTGCTGCTTGTCAGCTCCCACCTGCTGGTTGTGTGGCTTATTTTAAGTCTTGCATTACTATTAGCCAAATACCAATAAGTTTTGTGTTGTATTCCTTTCTTTTCTTCAAATGACAATGGACTTTAAATTATGGGGACAATGCTGTAATATTTCTACATTTTCAGATTCACAAGATTTAAAAAAATATTTGAATTATGTTTTGTTTTTCCTAAAATCTAAAAAAAGTACTATGCATTAAATGAATTATTTTGCTCTTTGCTTCATGATAAAGTGTTTCCCACTGCTCCAGAAGACTTTTTCAATTACTTGAAATAAGACAAAGAACAGAATCCTGAAAGCTTGAAGTTCTGCACCTCCTGTTCTTCTTCCCATTATACTTACTAAGAAAATTAAGATTGAATTTGCACAAAACACTGAAACCCCGAGACAAATCCCAGTGTCGTGGGAGGTTCCAGACTTTATTTCCGCTGTGCTAATGTCATTGTTGCCTTCTGTTTCGTTTCTTAACCTGTTAATTATGTTATTTCTTTACTGCAATTAACCCTTTTCTGTCAAGTAACTTATGGAAAGAATGGCTATTTATGTTTTGTAATTAAATTAACCTGTTTGTAATTTGTTTGGGTTGATTTGGCTTTCAGAGTACTTTCCTATTCTTTTTAGCAAGGTCTTGTTTGTGTCTTGATGTACCATTTTCAGCACCTGTGACTTTTGAGCTGTCTGTGCACAGCCCTCTTCCTTATGAAACAGAGACTTGGACCAGGCTGTCAGGAAAGCCATTTTTTTCTCTTCATTGCACAGCTAATAATGAAGTAAAATAGAGATGAAACTTTCTTTTAAAAATCTATAGGGCCAGACTTAATAAATTAAATGCCTTATTCCTAGAACCTGCATCCTTAGGGCTACATGTAGATTTTAACGTGTTTTAAAGAGACTGAGAAATTACTTTGTGGAAACGTGATAGAAAGGCAGATATATTTACGAAACTAAAGTAAAGCTGTATTGTGGAGAAAATTATATTTAAAGAGTTTATTAAATCTTAAATATATGTTAAAGGCAAAGAGACTTTAACCATCTCTTTTTGAGGGCAATAATGGTATTGGGCCTGGCCTAGGATTTAATTTTGTAAGATGTATCATCATTTGTGGAAAAAAAAAATGTAGAGTTGAATCTTTGTTATTTTTACTTGGACTGTTGCTGCAACTCTGCATTGAACAAATAAAGTGTATTTATTTACTCTGTGTTTCATGAAGTTGTACTTTTTTCCCCTTTCGCCAGAGAAGGATGCCGCATAGAGAATGTTCTGAAGAATATCAAATGCAGGAAGTATGCTTTCAACATGCTACAGCTGATGGCTTTCCCCAAGTACTACAGACCTCCAGAGGGGACTTATGGAAAAGCTGATACCTAAGTTTACCAACATGTGAATAAACAGGAACACAAATATACTTCAGTTGTATTAATCTCCACCTTCTTTATTTTTTTATTGTCATGAAATTTGTGGAGGGAGGTGATTGAGGATGTTTGCCCAAATCTAAGAATTACTTGAATTAGTTATCAGCATATTACTCTGGAGAAATCCCTTTTTAAAGATCATAAATAATATTGTGTTTCTATTTCTAAGTTTTGCTCATTGACCCTATACTGGTTGAGATCAGCTCAGGAAGTGGACATTCATTTGTGGAATATTTCAATGAAAGACAGTCTGAGAGAACAGGTCTCTATAAGAGGGCTAGAGATAACTCAGAGTGGCACTCTCCCTCCAAAATAAGGACAGGGAAACAGAAAGGCTGTCATTTCACAGCCTTTCTCATACATGACCTTTTGTCATGTATTTGTGGGATTTCAAAAATATTTTTCTAATTAACTGAAATTAGGTAGTTAACTCACAGTCTTGACTACAAAAGCAGTTGACACTATGAGGACTTCTGTCATCCAACTGAGATGTGATTAGTCTTTCTAAACAGGTAAATGAACAGTGTTAGTAAAGAGTAAATACACTTTTGAAAACATTTTTTCAAAGTTCTGGTTTGAGTTGTATGGCCACATTGTAGAAGTGACAGTAAAGTGTAACAGTGTAACAGACAAAAAAACACTGTGAGGACTGAAACCACAAGGAAATTAAAGATGATCAGCCGGTTAAGTCCAAAATGAAAATTTTCATCAGTCTCAACTTCTTGTAGTCAAGTTGATGAGAGTCAATAAAATATCTTTGAAATGTTTTCTAGCTGATATCTTGGTACAGAACATAGTGTAAGTATGCATTGTCTGGCATATATGAATAAATCTTTTAAAAGATAACAACTGTAACTAATGATAAACCAAAACAGTTATTTCCACTAACCTGAATTTCAAATTTGTCCATAGTAAAATAAAACCATAAGTTTCCTAAAATTCCAGATCAAAAGTTGCCTTAGAGATCACCTAGTACAACACCTTATAAATGGGTAAATTAAAGCACAAGGAAGATATGCCCCCAGTCACCTAGTGAGATAATTTTAGAATAATGATTACAACCTCTTCTTACCTTCCTAGGCTATAGTTTGTCTCTTCTCCCCATTGACATGCTAAACATACATGAAAATTATCGGGAAATGCTAGTTAGTTAATAGAAATTAGCCTTTATTGCTGGAATTGAAACAGAGTACAAAGATTTCAACAAATGAAACTTATTTTCTTCAAATTTTAGGAATTTGTTCTTTTTCCATTCCCATCAAAGGAGCATGCCACCCAGAGATAAACCTTCTTTGGAAATGCCAGAATCTTGTTACACAGATATCTATCAGCTATTACTGCATTCAATGGATGACATTGTGCACCTTTGCATAGCTAATGTGATAGCTCCTTGACTAAGATGCCTGTTGAAATAAGTTTTCCAAACAGATCCCTGATCTCATGTTGAGGTTTTCAAATTACTACAAATTTTAGATAATACTTTGGGGCTTTTAATACTATAGTTAATCAACCTATTATTTTAGATAATGACTTGTGGGCATTATTATACTTTCGGCAATTGCCAAACTCTTTACAGTGTTTTAATAAGAGTTGCTGTGTACTATGGATCTATTCATGGACACATTTATTCTGGTGTTCTCCTTTATACCTCATTCTCTATTTCATGATTAAATATAATTTCAGAATTGTTTGATTTCATTTGAAAATGGTAGAATTTGTAGTTATTTCCATTATCCTGCTGGATTTAAGGAAAAAAGGTGGGATGACAGATTTCCTTGACCAACTGTGAAGCCTCATTCAGTATATTATCAAATAGCAGTATGAGTTCCAAGGTACCCTAAGTGATTTATCACCCTGAAAATAGTCTTGTAAAAAAAGCATAGTTTTAAGTGGATTTCATCAAAAAAATCTGTATTTCATATAAACGATATTGCTTCTTTGCTGAGAGATATTCCATGTATCCTTGGAAAACCACCTCACTATTTCTTAAGTTATGAAAGCTAAGTCTAAGAGCACACGTTAAACAGAAAGTTTTAATATCTACTTCATGCAAACAGCCCCAGTCATATGCTTTTCTCTCTCTATTTTCATTAAAAAGTAGATCAGCAGACCTATTTTAAAAGATCATGTTGAGAAAAAAAATGAACCAAAAAATAACACTTCCAAACAAGATATCTTTTTTTACTCAAAAATATGTTTCTCCTCTAACCTCATTAAATATATATACCAATTCTGTATTAGCTGTTTACAAAGCCCTACACAAAATGTATATTTAAAAAAAGGAAGGTAGAATCTTATGTTTGACCTCGTGACAAGGGTCCAGATCCTGAGAAGTTTCCACAAAACAGGTGAACATAAAACTTTGAAATATTTCATTGAAACAGACCCACACTTAGATGTACCCATTCATCTATTTCTCCTGTGCTTTCTTTTTCTTGTAAATATTTCCTTGAGTCTTGTTTACATTCTGCTAAAACAATCCTTTGATGTAAATAAGTTAGTTGGTCCAATAATCTAGTGAGTCAGAGCAGCCATTGAATCCTGCTGACGAATTGTACTAGATGACCAACTGCCCAGCTCAAGCTATACACTATGTAACTAACCTCCAGTCCCTACTTTGTAAGAATAACACCTCTTCTGAAAAGCTTAAATGCCAGCCTAGATGAAGGCTACTTCCCTTATTTTCCTCAACCGAGTATGGTATCTTGCATAAAATTTGATTTGCATAAAAGTCTTCCCAAGCAAATCAAACCCCTCCCTTTGTAAAGTCTGCTACATGCCAAGAAGAGAGGATACCAGCACTGTGCTGCAACAGGCTTATACTGATTCATGAAAGCTGATGATTAATTTTTCAAGGATTCTGTAAGCCAGTTTTTAAACACAACCATCATTAAATATTAAATTATAAATGTAATTGTTGAATAAACTTTATTGAAAACAAAAATATAATCAAAACTTACTATATCCTAAATGTTTTACTACATTTTCTTGTTTTCTATTTAGCTATGTTCTTGAAGTTATTTATGGCAATTGTACCTGTACAGTGGAAACACTGCATTATAGTGTGCTACTATGAGTCTCTTCCTGACTCCATATTCAGTAACATCATTTTGGTAGCTTGAAATTGACCACTGAGGGAGTATTTACACCACAGAAATTGCCAAATGCTACAAACCACAGGGACACTTCATTTCTGGAAAACCAGTTGTTAAACATTTGCCAGCACACAACTATTAAATGCAAATACTCATTTTCAGATGCTTACAATTTTACTTTCGTTTCTACCTTCTTTAAAGACTCCTATTAGACTATAAGTAATATTTGTTGTTTATAATTTATTCATAATTCAATTATTTAATCATAAAGACATGCTAAAAACATAACAGTATGATGTTCTGCAAGTGAAATTTTAGCAATGCAGCTTCAGTGTAAACCATAACAACTCTGAGCTAAATTCAGGGAAATGTTAGCCTAATTAGAGGATCACTGAAAATGTGCTTCAGTATCAATTTTTAAGTTCATAATTTTGGCATTTGCTAAAAGCAGGAAAAACAGTAACATTACTGTGCCCATATTCTAGCAAATATAGCTCAATTGAAACCCACACTGTTAGATTAAACATATTAAACTCTGACAGCGTGCTAAGTCGTCACAGATATTTTAGATGTTTGATTCCCAAACAGGTTAGTATATCAATTGTTTAGTTCAGTATACAGGGTGCCTTTTGAAATCTTTTAGGAAATAAATTAACTTTTATCATAGATTTAAGAAACCGGTCTGAGCAAAACTGTGATCAGCAGTAATGGAGGAAAACGAACATAATGAGCACAAGGCACCCTTGAATAGCTGGTGGCTTTACAAATGATGCACCACTGCAGAGAATGATTTGCGGAGAGCTGTGTAATTGTTTGACAATTTAGTGTGAATTCACATCCATTTAGCCCAGCTGCAGTCTGTAAAAGCTACACTTTTTTTTTCCATATTTATGTTGTATTGCTTTATAAAGAAAGTGCCAATATATTCTATCTTTTGTTTCTTTCGCCGTTTTAACTTAGAACTTTCTACCCAAGCAGATGCTACTTACAGCAAAAACTGTCTTTAAGAAAAGGAAAAGAAGTGTTGTAAATAAAATATTGCAGGCCAATTAGGTGTGGAGTTAAGGTATGAAAAGTTGAATTTTTACTTTGTGAATAATAATGCATGCCAATCAATCTTTGAGTTTACTTCCAAGCATGTAAGAGAAAGTCTAAAACATTTCTGATGTCAAAGAAACAAATGATATCTGGCTGCTAGTTGACAAATAGGAAAATATTGTAATAAAATATTAACAAAAAAAATACATGCAATCAGCTTTCCTGAGCTTGAAGTTTTATAGATTATATGAATAATTAGAATTTTACATTTAAAAAGGAAAATGGCTCACAATTAAAGCTGGTACCCAGGAGACCGACTATCAAGGGAGAGAATATCTAATATAAGTGATGCTACCAGATAAACTGTATCCTGCTTATCTTTTAGTATTTACAAGTTCTTTAAGATGTGCACTTTATAATTATATATGAGTACATTCACAGTCTACCTAAAATCATCTAAACTACTCCAAGTTCATAAAAGGGTACATACAGTCCAATGGTACACCACTAAGGATGACTTGGTGAGATTTAATGGCCTAGCAGGCAATATTGACACAAATATTGGCAAGATTGTTGTATTATCTATATAGTTCTTGTGATGCTTTTGTATCACCAGTCATTTAAAAATCAAAAGGTATTTCATGTCAAAGAATTCTCCAACTTTAAAAAGGCAGATATCGTATGTCTCTACACATCAAGACACTCCCATTTCACGGCACATGTGCAGCCCTTTGTATACACATGTATACACATGTATTTCCCATGCGAAGATTTTATTATTTTATTTAACCCAGCATCGAACTTTCAGATTCTCATGGTACTTACCTGAAACACTGACATTTGTTTTCTTTTATGTGAAATAAAGCTAGATGAACCAATAATGTATATTACTAGGTAGTGAGACACAAATAGGTTACACCATTTTATTTGAAGAAATATTTTGTTTTATTGTTCTGTGTAAACCATATCATTGTACACTGTGTATATATTTTTGTTTAAATAAATTTTATTTTTGTTTTTTATGTTTCTGTCCTATTCTCCCTATTACACATTATTTTTTACATTTTTATCAATATATCTATGCCTAACAATTAATTATAATAACAGAAGCATAGCCTACACAATATTTTGAAGAGAATAGACTAATATCTGCTGGACCACAATTAAAGTGCAAATTTTACACTGTACTAGTTAGTCTTATGTTTACTAACAGAGTGTATTTTTCAGGGTTGCTGTTCTGTGGGACCAAGATCAACCACAATTTATAAGAGGGGTCAAGAACCAGATGTCAATGCTTCAACATTGGCAGATCCCTGATATTTGTGATCTAGTTATTAGTTACTTGAGCACCTGACATAACTGTTTCTTATGACCTATTTGGATCCAATCACTTATAATTCATTATAGCAGTTAATTGTAGATGGAAAATCCTAAGGAGTTTTAATTAGATCTTGCTGAACAACAAAAACAAAAACAAATGAAGCCCCTGGTGCATGTAAAGAAAAAATGAAATTTTACTATCTGGGAAATTTCAAGCACATACCTGATCTTTCAGCTAGAAACATTCCTCCTCTGAAATGTCATCATCACCAATATATGTTCATACTAATGTGTCTTTCTACATCTGAACAGGAACAGTGCTGTAGGTAGCACTGTGGTGAAAGAATGCCTAGTGAAGCAGCTGCCATAAAACTGAGGCGTAGCCTGAACAAAGTACTAGTGCTCTGTTGTGTCAACCATGCAAAGGTGACTTGAGTTCTCACTCAAAGTCAGAATACAACTCAGAAAATTTGTCTCAGGGCTATCTTTGGTATCTTCGGAGAGTGGAATGAGGAGGGTGAGCGGATGTGGTTGGAGCCCGTCAAGCCAGCACCCATTTTGATTTTGTAGGTCCATGTAACAATGACCACAGAGTTCTCTGTCCTCTTGATGATCCTGATGAATAAGGCTGAGTAAAGAACAAGTGTTTAGAAAAATATTAAGTGAATACCTGGTCAAACATTTCTGTGCAGGAGGTTGTCAGGGGCTGCCACTGGGTGAAAGGGGGGCCAGAAGCTAAGGAGCTTGTTAAGAAGTTCCTTTGTGTGCCACTTTTCACAAGTCTGAGCAACAACCAGTTTTCTGCCTCAAAACCTGGAGCTGCTGACAGAGATTAAACTACCCCTTGATAACTGAATCTGTCCGAATACTCTGAATACTGATGAAATATACCATAGAAAAGAATTTTTATTTTCAGCTTACATCAGGATGGCATATTTCAGGCTTTCCATACATGGAGCGGCTTTCAGGCCCAGTTACAAATGCCCTTTCTTTACTTATACAGAAAGTACACAACCTGGATATTCAGAATTTCTTATTTTCCCAAGTGTCACTCTGTAAATATGGATCTCTTTTAAGATCAGGAGTCCACAGGAGATAGATTTGGCCTCATCTAAGTAAGATGAGCAGGAAACAATGTAATTTATGAGCTGAACTCACAGAGGGCGCTCAGTCGAGCTGTGTTAAACTGATCTTATGGCTGGCAAGGATGACATGTCAGATGTTTCATTCATTTGAAATACCAGACCATTTCCATAAATCATTTTTAAAACTTTAAATACATTATACAGGTACAGTAAAAATAGATGGTGTGCCAGACACATCTATTTGTTTCACTGCTTACTTGCATTCCTCATTTCATTTTCCAAAGATGTATTTATCAGTCCATATTTTAGTTTTATTCATGCAGTCTTGTTTATGCTTATTTGATTCTTCCTTGTACATATAGATTCAACCCATGTGAATATAATTAGAGTGTCTAACTTTCTCACTTCCTGCACAAAGAGCAAACAGAATCTCCTTTTTAAATTTGTCAATGTACAGTGAGAAAAAGTATACAGAATGGATTTGGGGCAATTTAGCATAAAGTCTTCAACTGAAACAGTGCATTATTTAAATAATGTGTTTCAGGACATTTAAGGTTGAGTTTCTTTACTGCGTGAATGCTATACTATCTTCTTTTCTCCCCTAACCCCCACTCCCCAATTTAACAGCAGACAAACCCAGGGAGCACTGAACGAATCTGAGGACCCTGAAACAGGCTGCCTAACCGATAACAAGCCAACTTCTCGGCACTTCTACCCTGTCGCCTTGCTGCTTGTCAGCTCCCACCTGCTGGTTGTGTGGCTTATTTTAAGTCTTGCATTACTATTAGCCAAATACCAATAAGTTTTGTGTTGTATTCCTTTCTTTTCTTCAAATGACAATGGACTTTAAATTATGGGGACAATGCTGTAATATTTCTACATTTTCAGATTCACAAGATTTAAAAAAATATTTGAATTATGTTTTGTTTTTCCTAAAATCTAAAAAAAGTACTATGCATTAAATGAATTATTTTGCTCTTTGCTTCATGATAAAGTGTTTCCCACTGCTCCAGAAGACTTTTTCAATTACTTGAAATAAGACAAAGAACAGAATCCTGAAAGCTTGAAGTTCTGCACCTCCTGTTCTTCTTCCCATTATACTTACTAAGAAAATTAAGATTGAATTTGCACAAAACACTGAAACCCCGAGACAAATCCCAGTGTCGTGGGAGGTTCCAGACTTTATTTCCGCTGTGCTAATGTCATTGTTGCCTTCTGTTTCGTTTCTTAACCTGTTAATTATGTTATTTCTTTACTGCAATTAACCCTTTTCTGTCAAGTAACTTATGGAAAGAATGGCTATTTATGTTTTGTAATTAAATTAACCTGTTTGTAATTTGTTTGGGTTGATTTGGCTTTCAGAGTACTTTCCTATTCTTTTTAGCAAGGTCTTGTTTGTATCTTGATGTACCATTTTCAGCACCTGTGACTTTTGAGCTGTCTGTGCACAGCCCTCTTCCTTATGAAACAGAGACTTGGACCAGGCTGTCAGGAAAGCCATTTTTTTCTCTTCATTGCACAGCTAATAATGAAGTAAAATAGAGATGAAACTTTCTTTTAAAAATCTATAGGGCCAGACTTAATAAATTAAATGCCTTATTCCTAGAACCTGCATCCTTAGGGCTACATGTAGATTTTAACGTGTTTTAAAGAGACTGAGAAATTACTTTGTGGAAACGTGATAGAAAGGCAGATATATTTACGAAACTAAAGTAAAGCTGTATTGTGGAGAAAATTATATTTAAAGAGTTTATTAAATCTTAAATATATGTTAAAGGCAAAGAGACTTTAACCATCTCTTTTTGAGGGCAATAATGGTATTGGGCCTGGCCTAGGATTTAATTTTGTAAGATGTATCATCATTTGTGGAAAAAAAAAATGTAGAGTTGAATCTTTGTTATTTTTACTTGGACTGTTGCTGCAACTCTGCATTGAACAAATAAAGTGTATTTATTTACTCTGTGTTTCATGAAGTTGTACTTTTTTCCCCTTTCGCCAGAGAAGGATGCCGCATAGAGAATGTTCTGAAGAATATCAAATGCAGGAAGTATGCTTTCAACATGCTACAGCTGATGGCTTTCCCCAAGTACTACAGACCTCCAGAGGGGACTTATGGAAAAGCTGATACCTAAGTTTACCAACATGTGAATAAACAGGAACACAAATATACTTCAGTTGTATTAATCTCCACCTTCTTTATTTTTTTATTGTCATGAAATTTGTGGAGGGAGGTGATTGAGGATGTTTGCCCAAATCTAAGAATTACTTGAATTAGTTATCAGCATATTACTCTGGAGAAATCCCTTTTTAAAGATCATAAATAATATTGTGTTTCTATTTCTAAGTTTTGCTCATTGACCCTATACTGGTTGAGATCAGCTCAGGAAGTGGACATTCATTTGTGGAATATTTCAATGAAAGACAGTCTGAGAGAACAGGTCTCTATAAGAGGGCTAGAGATAACTCAGAGTGGCACTCTCCCTCCAAAATAAGGACAGGGAAACAGAAAGGCTGTCATTTCACAGCCTTTCTCATACATGACCTTTTGTCATGTATTTGTGGGATTTCAAAAATATTTTTCTAATTAACTGAAATTAGGTAGTTAACTCACAGTCTTGACTACAAAAGCAGTTGACACTATGAGGACTTCTGTCATCCAACTGAGATGTGATTAGTCTTTCTAAACAGGTAAATGAACAGTGTTAGTAAAGAGTAAATACACTTTTGAAAACATTTTTTCAAAGTTCTGGTTTGAGTTGTATGGCCACATTGTAGAAGTGACAGTAAAGTGTAACAGTGTAACAGACAAAAAAACACTGTGAGGACTGAAACCACAAGGAAATTAAAGATGATCAGCCGGTTAAGTCCAAAATGAAAATTTTCATCAGTCTCAACTTCTTGTAGTCAAGTTGATGAGAGTCAATAAAATATCTTTGAAATGTTTTCTAGCTGATATCTTGGTACAGAACATAGTGTAAGTATGCATTGTCTGGCATATATGAATAAATCTTTTAAAAGATAACAACTGTAACTAATGATAAACCAAAACAGTTATTTCCACTAACCTGAATTTCAAATTTGTCCATAGTAAAATAAAACCATAAGTTTCCTAAAATTCCAGATCAAAAGTTGCCTTAGAGATCACCTAGTACAACACCTTATAAATGGGTAAATTAAAGCACAAGGAAGATATGCCCCCAGTCACCTAGTGAGATAATTTTAGAATAATGATTACAACCTCTTCTTACCTTCCTAGGCTATAGTTTGTCTCTTCTCCCCATTGACATGCTAAACATACATGAAAATTATCGGGAAATGCTAGTTAGTTAATAGAAATTAGCCTTTATTGCTGGAATTGAAACAGAGTACAAAGATTTCAACAAATGAAACTTATTTTCTTCAAATTTTAGGAATTTGTTCTTTTTCCATTCCCATCAAAGGAGCATGCCACCCAGAGATAAACCTTCTTTGGAAATGCCAGAATCTTGTTACACAGATATCTATCAGCTATTACTGCATTCAATGGATGACATTGTGCACCTTTGCATAGCTAATGTGATAGCTCCTTGACTAAGATGCCTGTTGAAATAAGTTTTCCAAACAGATCCCTGATCT